TTGTGTTCTGAAGATGAACGAAGGTCTTACAGGTTTGAAACGACATGAAGGCGAGTAATTAATGACAGAATTTTTGGGTGAACTAACACTCGCATGAATCGATATGATAAGCATGCATTACTAGCATATTGGCTGTTTAGTAGTACTTATAGAGCACATATTAATGGCTTATTCTGCATGACTATGTAACAACGTTCGTAGATCGGGACGAAGGAGGCGGGAACCGGCGAACATTTAAGACTTTAATAATAAAATAAACAAACACAAAATGAAAGTAAAGCGGCAGCCCCTCGCGGACGACTGCCGCACACAAAAGGTCTTACAGGTTTGAAACGACATGAAGGCGAGTAATTAATGACAGAATTTTTGGGTGAACTAACACTCGCATGAATCGATATGATAAGCATGCATTACTAGCATATTGGCTGTTTAGTAGTACTTATAGAGCACATATTAATGGCTTATTCTGCATGACTATGTAACAACGTTCGTAGATCGGGACGAAGGAGGCGGGAACCGGCGAACATTTAAGACTTTAATAATAAAATAAACAAACACAAAATGATAAAGCGGCAGCCCCTCGCGGACAACACAAAACACAAAATAAAGTCCAGGCCTGGTCCTCTCTTCTCCAACACTGTCGTCACTCCTTCTTTTATCCTTCCGGAGCTCCTCCGTGGGACTCGAGACCGGTGAGTGGCACAGGTGTCGTGCATTAGCATTTACTCCACCGGCCTCGCACCGTTCCCACGGCTCTCGGCCCCACCCCCACTCATCACAGACTATATTTTAGATTCCTTAATCCTACCCCATACCTAAATTTAACAACTACCTTACTAACTATTAATAAGAGGCAAATTAGGAATTTGAGGTGAATGTCGTAGCTAATAGTAAGAATTACACTGCATTTACTGCAAACTAAAAAGATATAATTTACATTTCACAGAGAATAACACACCTTCAACCTAAACACAAAATTAAACAATTTGTAACAGTGTGTCTATGACTGAAGGGACACACACACACAGTCACCTTGAAAAAGAGATATAGGCCAAAGAGCGTGCAGCTGGCAATGATGGGGAATCGAGCAGCATCTCTGCTTGTGATGGTCTCGGGCATATCTGAAGCATTCTGACAGAGAGACACAGAAACACGGTTATGGTCACAATATATACACACACTGTCTACTTTGTGCACCATAAGCTTGTGTACTTTGACATAGGATATGAAACATGCGAAATATTATTAATAGAGATGCACCGATTGCAATTTTCTTGGCCGATTCCGATTTTTCGTTAATGTGATCTGCCGATACCGATTTTTGCCGATTCCTATTTTCTCAATAAAATAATAAAAAATAAAATAAAAAGAAGGCAAACAACAGTACAAATAAATGCAATAGAATAAAGAGAGCTATGAAACTAAGTTATTTAGGTTAAGTAAGTTTTTATTCAGGTAAGAAATACTACAGAAATGAAAGAAGTGAGACTGACTGACCGACCACCGATCCGGGCCGATTATGAGGAAAATCGTCCGATTCCGATCCCTGGCCGATCAATCGGTGCATCTCTAATTATTAAGAAACCAAGTTGTAATGATTATAACAATTAAAGGGTGATTTCAAAAACAGAAAGCCAATTCTGAGGGTTAATATTGTGTGTAAAATATTTTGAAAAAAAAAAAAAAACAGTATTGTAACAACAATATTGTGAAAGGGTACAATTTAAAAGTGCCTTTATTTGAAATAGAAACCTTTTATAACAATATAAATGTCTTCACTGTCACTTTTGATTAATTTAATGTGTCCTGGCTAAAGTATTAATTTCTGTTAAAAAAAAAAAATCCCCAAACTTTTGAATGGTTTTCAACATTGTTAATAAAATGTCTCTTGAACACCAAATCAACATATTAGAATTATTTCTGAACGATCGTGTGAAACTTCACAATATGAATGTTTTTACTATAGTTATTATGATCAAATAAATGCAGCCTCTGTGATATTAAGACATTCGTCAATGACACTTTTTCGCAATCCAGAAGAGAGATGTCAAGATACAGCTGATGTAAAATTGCAAAATGATTATCTTAAATAGTGTTACCATAAGAAGATACAATTATTGATTCAAAGAAATTGCAAAAATTAGCTTTGTTACAGTAACATAACAGATTTTGGATATCCTGAACAGCATTACCATTATGAGAGATTTAAAAAAAGAATAGTAACCAAAAAAAGGAAACAGGAAGAATCTCATATCTTCTAAATGCATTGAGTTAGATAAAGTGCAATTGTATGTTTGGTCATGGGGGCTGACTGAATGAATGCACCGATGTCAGTGCCACTAGCTGCCCTCAGCAAGAGTGTGCACCTACTTTGCATGTGCTTTTTTTCTGTATCATAGCTGATTTGTAGCTTTTACCCCACCAAAGAAAAATGTTCTATATTTTCCATTTGTTTCCTATGGAGGTCTTTTGACCTCCATGAACACACATATGACTATTTTAAAGGCCATTTAGGCTTTTCCCAAGACCTAAGATAAGAAGGTGTCCTGTGGTATCTGGCACCTGATGTTAGCAGCAGACCTGCAAGTTGTGATTTGATGTTCCAGCACATCCCACAGATGCTCAATCGGCTTGAGATCTGGGCAACTAGAGATCAAACTGGAGTTGTATGTTTGGTCATAGTGAGCTTTTTATTCTTCAGACTTTTAGAAGCTTTTGGGGGCCTTAACATGCTTAACATTTCGCACACATGCCCAGGCCAAAAGATAGCAGTGGGTTTTCAACTACTGAATATGGGTCAAATTCAATAAATTGGACATTGAGTCACATTGGGCTCCTCGTGTCTCTGGGATTGAACCATATTGGGCCTTAAAAATTAAGAAAACTACATTTAAAAAGTGTATTAAGAACATGAATTTAAAATGATAGTTACTACTTGAGTTATAAGCATACAAACTCTGGAAAAAGAATATTTATAGCACTCAGACAAGTTTGTTCAATGCAGCTGTTTTGATACATTAGATACATTTCTAGTTTCAACATTATTTGTACTTCAGACATTCCTTTTTTAAAGAAAAAAAGTATCATCTGCATGCACAGTGACCCACATTTGGTTTTTGACCATGTGTACAACTCAACAATTTACTCTTGAAGCCGCAAAAAGGGCATGAAGATATCTTTAATACTTCTTGAGTGACAGGCATGCAAACTTTGGAGAAAAAAAAACTTGAAGTGCTTTTCCCCATGTTTGAATGGTCACCACTGGCATATAATGCAACAACGATTGCTGAAGTTAACAGATTTTGAACAACCTGTGGAAAATAAATAAATAAATAAATAAATAAATAAATATATATATATATATTATATATATATATATATGCTGCAGTTTTTCTAAAGTAATTTTTACCCTCCTGAAATTTGATTCACAATCTCTCTGGTGAAAATTGTAATTTTGACCCCTCTACAAATAGTGGATAAATCTATCCATGAGATTTAATATTTTGATTTTCATCACTATACATTTTTATCTTTCTTCAGAAAAAAATACTGACAAAATCTAAACTTGGAGCAGGGAGCTCTGGTTGGGTTGACGGGAATGACCCTGTTTCTAGCACTCACTGATGTTATGAAGTTAGTGTCAGAGGAGGCCATGCTGCTCAATGAAACCTCACACGCTCAAACATCTCTGCAGCTCGCCTCGCTTCTCACGGGTCTTTTAATATAGTAACTGTTTAACCTGCAAACAAGATGTCGCTTTTGAGCGTTGCAGCAGAAAGGAAGATGTGTGTCTGTTCTCACACGGCGATCATAGCGAAAATACAGCACACAGCGAAATCAAACGGTTTTGGATTTACATAATTACACTGGTGAGTAAATATTGACATAAAACATATCAGTGGATGCGATTATTAAAGTTTAACAGATCATGTATTGGGTAACATATGGCACTATAACAGGCCTGCAACTCTCAAACCAACGGCAAATCAAGAAGTTAAGTTCTCGAGTTATGTTCAAATGACTCCCTATTAATGCATTTATGTTTGCATACAGCGTCAGTTAATGTTGATTGTGTAGTTAGTTCAAGATTGAAATATTCAAGAGGCTTTAACGTGCATTGTCTTCGCACATTCTTTCATTTGGATTGTCTCTGAATAACTGTCCGTTACCTTGTTCTTGGAGCAGCCCACGGACCTGAGCGCTCCGAAGAAGATGGGCAGCAGGGCCATGAGCAGCAAGCTCCCGTACGCCAGCGCGGTGCCTTCGGCACTGGACACGAACCGGCCCACGGTCCCGTTCACCGCATCCGACTCGTTACTGGAGCCGTCTGGCACAGCTGCGTTTTGCTCCACATCAGCCATGTTTTCGCGCGTTTAGATACTGTGACCCTTATATATAGATATTCTGAGATTGTCAACTGAGTGTGCTTCTCATTGAGATGAGCTCGGGTCTCTTTTAAGGCCACGTTGCCTAACTCTGCCCGGTGAAGTCTCCGTGTTCTTCACTGCTCGGACACAAACACACTTACAAGCGTGCTGACACCCGATGGATCGGAGGAAGAATTACCGCGGCGGTGTTCTGCGCGCTTCTCAAACGGAAGGCTTTTAGGCCAGAGTTTTCCTATGAATTAAACACTAGAAGGATTATACTTATTATTAGGGGTCTAACCTGATCTTCTTCTTCTTCTTCTTCTTCTTCCTCCTGTCTGTGGATGCAGGGTGCAAATTACATAATGGGATTTTTTTGTTTTTTGAAAGAAGTCTCTTCTGCTCACCAAGGCTGTGTTTATTTGATCCAAAATACAGCAAACACTGTAATATTTTGAAATATGTTTTACAATTTAATGTAACTGTTTTCTATTTTAATATATTTTAAAATGCAGTTTATTCCTGTGTTGGCAAAGCTGTATTTTCAGCATCATTACTCCAGTCTTCAGTGTCACATGATCTTCAGAAATCATTCTAATATTCTGCTTTGCTACTCGAAAAACAGTTCTGATTATTATCCATGCTGAAAACAGTTGTGTACTTTTTGGGGATTATTAGATGAATAGAAAGTTCAAAAGAACAGCATTTATCTGAAATAGAAATGTTTGTAACATTTTACACTACCGTTCAAAAGTTTGTGGTCAATAAGATTTTTCTTCTTCTTTTTTTTCCCTTTGTTCCAGAGCAAATAGATTTGGCTGAGGGCAAATTTACATACCTTATTTTTAATATTGTTATTAGGGCTGTCAATAGATTAATTGCACACTCATTGTGAAATTAAGCATACACCATTTATCTTGTTTAACATATTATTTTGTCATCATGAAACATGAAAAAAAAACACATTCAGATTTCACAGTGTATATGTGATGTGATAGATAAAATCATATCTACCTGAACTGAGAATAGCGTGGGTATTTGGCGTCATTAATTGGTGCCTGGTTAGCAGGCTTGCGGATCTATATAGTTGTTGGTGTGTATTGCCCAGGTCAGAGTCACGAACTGCACAGGGACATAAAGGTTGAGGATCCAAGCGCAGGTAATCCACAATCAAAGTCAAAAATAGGCATGAGGTCAAACACAATCAACAATCCTAACAATGACAGTGTAGTGATTCTGCTTTCACCAACCTAAGAGGGTTGGTGTATTGAAATAGTGTATTGATGGGTATTCACGTCACCCATGTTGGATAAGTGATAGTTACGTTCTGTAAGAAATTATAGTCTGCCTCGACCCAGCTTCCACTCCAAATTGTGTATTAAACTATGCTCCTTTCTCTACAAAGAGCTTAATTATCATATAGATAGTTCTTTCCGATCTTAATCATATGTAAATAGTACCTCCGGAGCGATAATTTGTCACTTATAGCGTGGGAGAAGCAGCAGGTCGTCAAGAACCATCTGCTGACCAAAAGGGTACATGAAATAACTGCTATGGATTCTGTTTAATCTTATCACCTTAACATTTGGTTGTTCCCACTTGAGTCTACCGAAGATGTGGGAACGGAAGGCTATCACTTTCATTGTCATCCGCAATTTACATTTAAAACGAAACTTAATGTACATGTTGAGCGGGAAGATGCGTAATACTGTATAAAATGATTGAGCTTAGGATGTTCGGGGTTCAGTCTGACTCCGTTGAACCCAAGGTACTACATGTACTTTGTCACTACTATTCTGTAATAAAAGTTATTCTTCATCAAGATCTTCGACATCTTCACTTTTTCTTACACTTTAATAAATAATACTCACACAGTTCGAAGTACTTGTTTTAATAAAAAAAAAAATTCTCTCTATATACGGGTAATTTCCCCATATTTAACTCTTAAATCATTATTTATTGTTTAGGAACGATAGATTTACTAGTTACATTATTAGTTTCAATAAATAGCCGTTTTGAACTGGGTAGGAAATTTGGAGTTAATTTAAAATAATACTACTACCAGTGGGGAAAGGAGCAGGAATCCGTTTCGACAGCCTTGAACACAAAGCGCTGGAGGATGCTGACCTCCTGGAGCACCAAAGGGTCCTAGAATCTGGAGCTCAGACGTGGCCCTGGAGTAGGTGCAGAAGGTCCTTAGTCTGGAAAAAAACAGACGAAATGAACTTGAAGTGAAGGTTTGCTTGCTGGAGCTTAACCTTGTTGCAGATGTCTGTGTGTCTTCTGCCTCTCTGGGCTAGAGACTCAGAACTTGGTCGATCTGCTTTGTCTCTCTAGGATGGAGACTCAGAACATGCTGCATCTGTTGTTGTCTCACCGGATCAAGGCTCTGAATGCAGGGTATCTCTTTCAGGCTCAGAACGTGGTCGTATCTGTTGCTGCCTCAAAAGCTGGAGACTCAGAACTTGGTATCTGTTATTGTCTCTCACATCCCTTTCAGATGAGGAGGTGATTGTAAAACCAATTCTCCATTTCCATGCTCTGTTTCCATCAGAGCAGGGGAACATAGTGTGGCCCACCCTTCTTTCCTCCTATGGAACTTATCTGCATAGTCCAAACACACATTTAGAAAAGTGTCACTAAAGTTTCACCAATGCATTATTCACTTACCAAACCACAACCAGAATACCTTTGGCAATGTTACGAACACATTAAGTCCAAACATGATGGAAAAAGATTGAACTATGGGTTACATCTTGACAGTCAGGAATCAATGAACTCAAGTGATCAGCCAGGGATGTCGCTCTCGCTACAGCTCCTGAATTCCAATCATCACAAGATGACAAGATAGACGACACATCCTCAGCAGTCATGGAAATATCCCTCTCAGAGCTTTGGTTGAGTTCAGTATGAAGTGTCTGTTGCTGGCATGTAAGACGGAAAGTTTTCTGCACAGAATCATCATCCATACTGTGTACGTGCTCCAGCAGTTCAGAGTAAGGTTCGGACAGAAGACGTTGACTCACTGGCTTGACAAATGGGTCACGACTGAGCGCATCCGCCACCACATTCAACCTTCCAGGGACGTACTTGATTTTAAAATTGTACGGGGCAAGCTTTGAAACCCAGCGCTGCTCACATGCATCTAACTTAGGTTTGGTCATGATATACGTGAGCGGGTTGTTATCAGTCCATACAGTGAACTCATGGCCTTTAAGCCAGTGACTGAACTTGTCACAAATGGACCACTTAAGAGCCAAGAACTCCAGTCTGTGTGCAGGGTAATTGGCTTGGCTGCGGCTCAGAGACTTGCTGGCAAAGGCTATGGGACGTGCTTTATCCTCGCCAGTGGGAACTTGAGAAAGCACTGCACCTAGGCCATCCAACGACGCGTCAGTGCAGAGAATAAAGGGGCGCTCAAAGTCAGGGTGAGCGAGCACGACACTCTGGACAAGGGCTCTTTTCAACTCCTCAAAGGCGACATCACAGGCAGGAGTCCAGTCTTGGGGAGACAACTCTCGGAAGAGAGTTGCCAGCTCTATTACGACTGCTTGTGCCTCTCGCCAAACGTTTTTGTCCAGCCGTCATATTGAACAGTGGCTTTGCGATTCATGAACATCCAGGGATGAAGCTTTGGTAGTACAGAACCATGCCCAGAAACAATCTTATTTTCTTTTGCGAAGGTGTGAAACCATCCTCTTTCATGAGATCTTTCTTCTGAAAGGCAGAAATGACTGCTATCTTGTCTTCATCCACAGAAACTCCAGAACTGCTGATCACATGGCCCAGAAAACTGATGGAGCACCTGAGAAAGTTACACTTTTTTGGAGCCAACTTCAGATTACTAGCTCTCAACCTAGAAACCACTTTCAAGCGTTTCAAGGCCTGCTGTTCAGAACGGGCAAAAAACAGCAAATCATCGAGATAGCAAAGAAGGCTGGAAAAGTTGAGCTCTCCAAAAATGCTGAGCATCATCTGCATAAAGCATGCCGGACTGTTACACAGGCCCTGGGGAAGGCGGTTATATTCATACAATCCCATGGGTGTTGTGAACGCTGTGTAATGCCGATCAGACACATGGAGTGGGATGTTGTAAAATCCTGATGTTAAGTCCATAGAGCTGAAAAGAATATTGCCACCAAAAGCAGCCAGGCAATCTGCCTGATGTGGCGAAGGATGAGCATCCTTGAAAGTCTTCGCGTTAAGCCAGCAAAAATCAGTACAGACTCTCAGAGATCTATCCTTCTTCCAAACCATTACCAAAGGAGATGCATATTCGCTGATGGATTTACTAATAATGCATTTCTCTTCCATTTCAGATAGAACCACTCTCAACTTTTGGTAGTGGGCGGGAGGGATTCGGCGATAAGGCAGGCGGAACGGGCGCTCATCGCACAGATGAATTCTGTGTACAAAGTCTTTCGCCTCTCCACAATCAAGTCTGTCTCTGGAGAAAACATCGTGATAAGACACTATAAGAGTCGCCAACTCCTCCTTCCATGACTTGGAGACTTCACACCCATCAATATGAATGTCCTCCAAACTTTACTCGTGTAGCAGCCACACATGGTCAACAAATAGAACGGGCTTGGGGAGAGCAGAATCAGTGACATCATGAGGTTTGCACACACCTTGTATGAGAGAAACATCTTCCACTGCCAGACAAGGGGACACATCTGCCAGCTTGGTGTTACATCGAAGATTTATCGGAGACTGGGTAGGATTCAGAATCTTCATAGTGTAGTGAATTTTGCTTTCGCCAACCTAGGGAGGCGAAATAGTGTAGTGATGGATACTCACGTCACCAATGACGTTATGATATTTGGATCATGTGTCACTTAATGTGTGGTTATGAATACATCACGTAAGAAAGATTGGTGGGATCTCTAACTTGTAGAACCTCTTTTTCTATCAACACAAGGAAGACACAAGTGTAATAAAATAACTTTTATTAACAAAAGATAGAAAAGAGTAATCAACAACTACTAAATGCATACCATGAATGAAAAGGAATAAAGTGCATAAGATTGAGTTGTGATTCAGTTACGTTATCTTATGGGAAGATAAACTGAAACTAATAAGGTGAAGAACCTTATTATGCCTCAGACATGTAAATGAAAGATTATTTGTTCTTAACTGATCAGCTATATAAGATCTAATGTAAATTAGAAAATCATATACTGATAATGTACAACAGCGC